CAATTATTTATTTTCTATCTTGTCTCACTAAATGATAAGCTCAATGAGGGAAAGAAATTTGTACACTAAAATATGCACCATGCCTAGAAAAACAAATACCTATGTTATGAGCTTAAGACCTATTAATTAAGTGAATGAATGAACAATGACAGGGAAAGTTGAACATCAAGGAAGAGATCAAGGAGACCCAACATGTGCATAATAGCAGGACTAGAAAAAGAAAATAATATAAAAAAGAAAAAAAATTAATCATCTAGAACAATAGCAGCTCTCGAAGGTGTAAAAGATTATAGGAGGAAGCAATAATTAATCAAGTTGAATGTTTCCTTGAGCTACAGAAAGAACTAGGTCTGAATATTAAAAAGGTGTTCCATGCAACTCAAATTGACAATAAAGGCACAAGAGGAAAATCTATTAAACTTCAAGACAGCAAAGTCAATTTACCTACAAAGAAAAAGTAATTAGAAGAAAAAGTAGGGTGACATCATATTGTTTATTTGCAACCCAGGTCAGGTAAAAACACTCCAAAAGCATTGGTAGCCCTAGACAAAGTAGAAAGTATCTGTAGACTACCAAAAGACTGCTGCTTTCTTCAAATCTATACATGATTAATATATATTAGATGATGAAGGAAATAGTTTTGTGTATGCCAAAACTCATACAATCTATCTCCAAATATTCTATCTGAAAACAATAATAAACTGACAACATTTTTTACTAAATGCTTCAGAATAGAAATATCAAATAGGGAAATGTGAAGGACAAAAATAGGGTGTAAAAAATTAAGATTGAAATGTGCAAGCATGTGTGTGTTTCTGTGTGCACACATACACATGTGTCACATAGGTAAATCTAAACAGAATATCTGAATACATAACTAAAATTAGTTATGAATTAGGGCTCCTGAAACGGAATATTCAGTAAGAAAAAAATGATATTTAGTATTAGAATCTGAAACTAATAGGAATAAATTATTAAAAACAAGACTCCCAGAATTTAGACTGTGAAGGAATTATAAATCATAAGAGAGAAATTCAAGTGTATATATGAAATGATAATGCATGCATATTAAATGATTAATAGTTCTTTCCAAAATAAATAAATATGTGGGTGTTTTGATTTTGTTTTTTAAGGTGGGGGTCAAACCCAGGGCCTTTCATATAATAGAAAACTGCTCTACTACTGATTATAGCCCTGATCCTTTTTGTTTTATTTTGAGACAGGGTCTGGTTAAGTTGACTGGGCTGCCTAGAAACTTGCTATCCTCCTGTCTCAGCCCCAAAGACAGTTGAGATTTCTGGTGTGTGCCCCCACATCCAGCTTCTAATAATATGTTATTGATTATGCATCAGAAAAACTAAAATTTATTACTAATAATGTGGACTTATGAAAGAAGCTTTCGGAATTATGAAGAGAAAAAATAAAATAAATAACAACAAGCCAAAGGAAAAGAAACTATGTACAAATGCCACATTTTTTTAATCCATTCATCCACTGAAGAATATCTAGGTTGGCTCAACAATTTAGCTATTGTGAATTGTGCCGCTATAAACATTGATGTGACTGTGTCCCTGTAGTATGCTGTTTTTAGGTCCTTTGAGTATAGTCTGAGAAGAGGAATAGCTAGGTCAAATGGTGGTTCCATTCCCAGCTTTCCAAGGAATCTCTATTCTGCTTTCCATATTGGCAGCACCAATTTGCAGTCCCACCAGCAGTGTATGAGTGTAACTTTTTCCCCCACATCCTTGCCAACACTTGTTGTTATTTGTCTTCATAATGGCTGCCATTGTTACTGGGGTGAGATTGTATCTTAGAGTAGTTTTGATTTGCATTTCTCTGATTGCTAGAGATGATGAGTATTTTCTCGTATATTTGTTGATTGATTGTATATCCTCTTCTGACAAGTGTCTGTTCATGTCCTTGGCCCATTTATTGATTGGACTATAATGGATAATTATGAATGTAATGCACTCCACTATTGTCATGTATATAATAAATAAATAAGAAACTATGTAAAAACTATGAAATGAAAATATTGAGTACTAAAATGATCAAACACTGCTTGACATAGTTTTTCTTGTTAATAAAAGACATAAAATTTCATCATTTTGTTTATTTCACCTCCTAAATATCTTTACTTATTTGCTTATTTATTTATTTTTCTTCTGTATACCAGAATGAAGTATATCCTATTTATCTTTACTACCATAACAGCCCCTTGATCAGCCTCCACACTATATTTATGTATTCCAAAAATTTCAAAGCTTATTATTCAACCAATTAACTGTAGTAGATGTATGTATAATACTCTAAATTTTAAGTTTCCAATAACTTTCATCACACTTTGAGATAAAATCCAGAAGTCCAGAGAGTTTTCATGTTGTAGAATATTCTAGAACCAAGATATTTAGCTGTTTGGTAGGGAGTTCAGCAAAACTGGAGTTAAGTATAAATAGACATTTACATATTTTAATGGAAGCAAATATCCCTCTTAAATCATTTAATCACAGTCATGATAATTTGTATTTATACTTGTAAAGGACTATATGTCATGCTGGCATTTACATGAAGAAGGAGGAAAGGAAGGTGTGAAGAAATGGAAGGAGAGAGGAAGGGAAAGGAGGGAGGGGAGGAGGGAGGAGGAGGAGGAGGGAGAGATGAAGTAATGAATATAGGGAGGCAAGAAGAATGGAAGAAAGGAAACAAAGACAAGGAAATGAAAGAAGACTCTTGGAAATCCTAAATGAAAGTCTTTCTCAATAAAGGGGAACTCATCTTAAGGATAGAAATTAGTACTATTACTTGGACTCACGCACTGAGCTTATAGTTGCAAAGAACAAATGTAAACATGTAGAACTCTACTGTGGAATTTCCAAAAGGTCCAGGTCTCCATAGGTTCTCTTAATCCAGTTTTATCTCAGAACATTCTATCTTAAATCATCTAGGTTAATTAAAATTTTCATTACCACTAAGTCATTTCCATGTTTATTATTTCATTATACAATCCTCTACCTTGTTTTTTGTAAATATCATACACATTTAACAGTTTTGGCCAATGTTGATTCTATTTGAAATTTAGGGCAAACTCTTGAGTCCAATTTTTCAGGATCCATAATATCTGCTTTGTTTACAAACACTTTCTCAGAGTTGCTGCTGCCTGATCTTTACCCAGCAACCTGTTGATTCAATTCTTGTTAAGGGCCAGAATAGTAGTTATTTCTTTAATTCACAGTCTTGATCCTATTCTTGGACAGTATACTACAGAATTATATGAGTTCAAAATCACACAAATCATTAGATGTTTTTTTTTTTTAATTTTTTTTTTAGTTGTAGTTGGACACAATGTCTTTTTTTTATTTTTATGTGGTGCTGAGGATGAAACCCAGTACCTCACATGTGCAAGACAAGCGCTCTACCAATGAGCTATAGCCCCAGCCCTCATTAGTTGTTCTTAACTAATTCAGTCTGTTCTAATTCAAAAGGAAAATTGGAACATGACAGTCACATGAAACTGAAATATGATAGTCATCAAAAAGGTACTGTAATATCTTAAAATTTTGATGACTGCCATATTTCAGTTTCATGTGACTATTATGTTTTTCCCCCCATAATCTGCTCACACAACCTCCTCCTCAGGATGAAGGGATTGGAATGATAGCTTGCATACTGGAGTGGTTTTTTGGATTTCTAACTCTTCAAAATGAAAGATATAAATTGAATATCTTAACTCATCTTCATCTATGGAGCTTTGGAGGGGAACACATTTAAAATCAGGCCAAACTTAATTTTATTAGCAACCCTGAAACTTGTAAACAATGTAACTAAAGTGGCTGACATGACTCATCTGGTTGTTTTCTCTTTTATACCACAGTGATTGCATTCTATATCACACAGGCTCATGAAGATTGAAGGAGAGCATAAGAAATGTATTTGAAAGTAGTTGATTTTTGCAAAAACCTCCTTTGGAATTTTCACCCAAGAGGTGTTTGAAAGTTATGGGCATTTCTGAAGTAAATGAACAAATAATTCAGTTCTGCTGAATGAACATGCAAAGCTGTGTACTTCAAACAATTAAAGAGTTACATTAACAAACCTTTTCCTTGATGCTGTCCCCCAACTTGCTGTGTCACTGTGGCCTTTAATCCCTTATTTTATGAAATTTTCTTGTGTCCTAAGGAGGACATTAAATAGAATATATAGCTAAATTAACTTCATTAATAAATCAACTTGTTAACAACTTAAAGTTTTGAAAATTATTATTTATGGTCATGAAATACCTGGTGTCTATACTGAAAGATATTTTCTTTCATGTAATGCCCCATTCCATTTTATAATATAAAGTTCATGAAATGATTTTAGGCATAGGGGTATTTTTCAAAAATTACTGAGAATGGGAACAAAGGTAGTCAGAACCCAGTCTGTTCTTTATAAACTTATAGATTGCAGCTAATGTACTGCAGGAGACAGGATTACAGATTGCTTATTTAAAAATGTAAAATTGATAAAACAAACAATATCCCTATTATTAACTCAACAATAACTATGCCATTATTGTCCACTGTAACTCTCTACACTATGTTATAAATCCATGTGTGTCATCATTAACTTTTGTTAGCACAAAAATCAGTATATGATGACTCTACTAAGCTTTAAAAATCTAATTTTTCATCCTTTTTTCACATTTCACTAGCAGTCTCATTTATCCCCAAACTGTATTTTATTGTTAGTATAAGCCACAGTTGAATTTTTCCTTAAATCTCAAACAGTAATCTTAAGACCATTCAATAAATACTTGTTCTAGTACATTCCATATAAATAAACCTGTTCTTCTTGCCTAAGACCACAACATGTAGGGAGACAATTAATGACTGAAACTACCATGTAATAATATGAGTGATATATAATTTAAACAAAGCATTATTATTTTTGAAGATGAATAATAGACTTTTATGGAAATATTTGAATTGCAATTTTCCTAATTTATGATGGTGTATTTACAGTTGTATGTCAGGATTTACTGGAAAAGACTGTGAGAAAGTAATTGACCAGTGTAGACTGCTCAGCATCAACTGTCTGAATGAAGAATTGTGTTTCAATGTAATTGGAAGATTCACAGTAAGTAATTTAATGCACAGCCAAGTAATTTAGCTCTTTTAAATACAATAGCTTTAGCTAGTCAGCATTTCAAATGCTTTTATTAATTTAATCTAGAGAAATATAACCATATGTGTGTGTGGGTTTGTGTATAGATAAATATGAAATACATGAAGTTTAGGTGTATGTATTTTCAACTTAGAAGATTTATGGTGAGAAAGCATTAATAAATTTTCCAGACAATGCTTTCATTATAAAATAATCATATAGCTATTTGATTCCTGGAGATAAATCTCTGTATATCATCAGTTACTAAGGCCTTAAACTCCTCAACTAGATGGAGAAATTAGTCTACTTGTTAGTTCAAGGTCAGCCTCAGGAACTTAGTGAGATCCCGCCTCAAAATAGAAAATTAAAAATAAAAGGGGATGAAGCTCAGTAATAAAGTGCCTCTGGGTTCAATCCCCAGAAGAACAGCAACAACTACAAAAATCTTCATGGCATAGTCCTGGTGCAATACCTTATGTGTATTAACAGTTATAAATGTCCAAAAATTTGAATTTTAAAAATCTTGTCCAAGAAAGATACATATACAGTATGGCAATTATTATTTATATTTGTAAAATATAAAAATTGATACTTTCTATAATTGCATAAATACATAACAAAAGTGTAACTAGTAAACATACACATGACTTCTATTTACTAAGTTTAGTAGAAGAGCTATTTACAGACCTTGGGGGAGTGAAATTAAAAAGTATAGAGGAGACTTCTAACATTGGTAATACTTGATTCTTTCACAATAATATGAAATTTTGGTTTAACTTTTTTATCAGCACAGCTCAATTATACAAAATAGTGGAATTTCATTCCCCAAATACTTAATTTTTTAATGCTAAATTTCAGGAATAAATATAGTGAGAACATAATGTTCATTTTATTATATTTTCTATGTTCTGGTAGCATAGGTATTTAAATAAAATTTTTTTCAATAATGAAAAGCCAATTTACAGAATTGATCAATGACATTTATATGATATGTACATTGACAAGCATATGTTGGATATTATAATGTTGTTATATAATAATATGTAGATAAGGAAGTAACTATTTGATAGCTTACATATTTTGGATATAATATATATTTTTGATATTTACCCATTTGGCCTTCTCATAAACCTCATCCCATCTTATGTAAAAAAAAAAAAAAAAAAAAGGCCATTAAGTTTTGGATATTTTTCCAAGTTCACATTATTTACATGGAAGGGTAAAGCTAGATTAAAGTAAGTCTTTATGACCCCTAAATCCTTATTTTCATTCATATGAATGTATACTTTCAACATAAAGAATGTACAACCATTTTTTTTCTCTTAATATTTATGTAGCCATTCTTTGGTAGTAAATTATCTAACAGAAATATATCTCTCACTTTTATCTGAAATTCTTTCACCTCATTCTATTTTTGATTTGGTTGGATGGGATGAGGATAGTGGTAAGTAGTTCCTGTTCTATTTTAGGACAATCTCTGAGTATTATCTCTGAATTTGCTTTTTAAAACTTTTTTCCACCCTCAATTTTTCCTGAATAATTTTATCTAATTTCAACTTTAATATTAATTTTATATTAACTTTAAAACCAGTTTGGATTGTTTAAAAAAGGAATTTGAATGGTGTTTTCACTTTCAACATTGCATAGATAGTTCAACCTTAACATGGATTAAATTGCATTTTCTTGAATTCCTTCTGTGCATTGATGTTTTCAGGAAATGTGGATAGTGAATGGCTTTAGCAATATCAGCTTTGCCTACAATTTCTGATCAGAAACTGAGAATTCTTCCTCCTGCTTTCCAATTATCAACTTTTCTTCTGCTTTACAGTGTTTTTTTTTTTTTAACTTCAAATCTTTATCACATTTCATCTAACTTGTCAACTTGCCTCATATATTGCTTTACTAATGTTTCTTGGCTTCAAATATTGTGAAGTTGAATTCAGATCAATTTGTATAAACTGAGAAATTGAAAATCTACATTTTAATTAATAATCTGATATTCTACAATTAGAAGCTAAAATAAAAGAATGTGCTCTTTTACTATAAGTATGATAATATTAGAAAATAAAACATACTAAGATTTTTACAGAAATTAGGGAATTAATGAAGAGTCCCTAAGTAGATAAAAATCAGCTAAAGACAGTATTTGATTATTTTAAAAGATTAATAAAATATAGCTTTCACAAACTTATGGAGAAAGCACAGAAATTACACAAATCAAGAATCTAAAAGTACATGTCACATTTTTAGACATTTAATGATAATTAAATAATATTTAATTTTTTTTCAAATATTTAATTGATAGTATTTTTTAAATACATGAGAGTGGAAGGCATTACAATTCTTATTACACATATAGAGCACAATTTTTCATATCTCTGTATGTATATAAAGTATGTTCACTCCAATTCCTGTCTTCATACCTGTACTTTGGATAATAATGTTTCTACCCTCATTGCTAACCCCCTGACCCCTCTCTTCCCCTCCCACCCCTCTTCCCTATCTAGAGTTCATCTATTCCTCCCATACTCCCCCTCCCTACTGCATTGTGGGTCAGTCACCTTATTTCAGAGAAAAGATTCCGCATTTGTTTTTTTGGAATTGGCTAACTTCCCTTAGTATTATTTTCTCCAATATCATCCATTTACCTGCACATGCCATGATTTTATTCTCTTTTATTGCTGAGTAATATTACATTGTGTATATATGCCAAATTTTTTAATCCATTAATCTACTGAGGGTCATCTAGGTTGGTTCCAAAGTTTAGCTATTGTGAATTGTGCTGCTATAAACATTGATGTGGCTGCGTCCCTGTAGTATGCTGTTTTGAAGTCCTTTGGGTATAGACCAAGGAGAGGGATAGCTGGGTCAAATGGTGTTTCCATTCCCAGTTTTCCAAGGAATCTCCATACTGCTTTCCATATTGGCTGCACCAATTTGCAGTCCCACCAATAATGTATGAATGTATCTTTTTTCTCCACATCCTTGCCAATACTTGTTGTTTGTCTCAAAATAGCTGCCATTCTGACTGGAGTGAGATGATATCTTAGAGTAGTTTTGATTTTCATTTCTCTAATTGAAAGAGATGATGAACATTTTTTTCATATATTTGTTACTTGATTGTATATCCTCTTCTGAGAAGTGTCTGTTCATGTCCTTGGATCATTTATTGATTGGGTTATTTGGGGTTTTTTTGATGTTAAGATTTTAAGTTCTTTAAATATCCTAAAGATTAGTGCTCTATCTGATGTGTAAGGGTTAAAAATTTGCTCCCAAGATGTAGGCTATTTATGTCACAGATTGTTTCTTTTGCTAAGAAACTTTTTTAGTTTGAATTCATCCCATTTATTGATTCTTGACTTTAATTCTTTCACCAAAGGAGTCTTATTAAGGAAGTTGGGGCCTAATCCCACATGATGAAGATTAGAGCACACTTTTTCTTCTATTAGATGCAAAGTCTCTGGTTTAATTCCTAAGTCCTTGATCCACTTTGAGTTGAGTTTTGTGCATGGTGAGAGATAGGGGTTTAATTTCATTTTGTTGTATATGGATTTCCAGATTTCCAAGCACCATTTGTTGAAGATGCTATCTTTTCTCCATTGCATGCTTTTGGTGTCTTTGTCTAATATAAGATAATTGTAAATTTGTGGGTTAGTCTCTGTGTTCTCTATTCTGTACCATTGGTCTACCAGTTTGTTTTGGTGTGCCAATACCAAGCTGTTTTTGTTACTATTGCTCTGGAGTACATTTTAAAGTATGGTATAGTGATGCCACCTGCTTCACTCTTCCTGCTAAGAATTGCTTTAGCTATTCTGGGTCTCTATTTTTCCAGATAAATTTCACGATTGCTTTCTCTATTTCTATGAGGAATATCATTGGAATTTTGATCAGAATTGCATTAAATCTGTATAGTGCTTTTAGAATATGGTCATTTTGATAATATTACTTCTGCCTATTCATCTTCTATGGTCTTCTCTGATTTCTTTCTTTAGGGTTCTGTAGTTTTCACTGTATAGATCTTTCACCTCTCATTAAGTTGATTCCCAATTTTTTTGTTTTGAGGCTATTGTAAATGGGGTAGTTTTCTTCATTTCCTTCTCAGAGGCTTTGTCACTGATATACAGAAATGGATTTGATTTATGGGTGTTGACTTTATATTCTGCTACTTTGCTGAATTCATTTACTAGTTCTAGAAGTTTTCTGGTGAAGCTTTTTGAATTTTCTAGGTATAAATCATATTGTCAGCAAATAGTGCTAATTTGAGTTCTTCTTTTCCTATATGTATTCCTTTAATTTCTTTCATCTGTCTAATTGCTCTGGCCTGTGTTTCAAGAACTATGTTAAATAGAAGTGGTGAGAAAGGGCATCCCTGTCTTGTTACAGTTTTTAGAGGGAATGCCTTCAATATTTCTCCATTTAGAATGATGTTGGCCTGAGGCTTAGCGTAGATAGTCTTCTCAATGTTGAGATATGTTCCTGTTATAGCCAGTTTTTCAAGTGTTTTGAACATGAAGGGGTGCTGTATTTTGTCGAATGCTCTCTCTGTATCTATTGAGATGATCATATGATTCTTTGAGTCTATTTTGAAATATTTATAACTATAATTTTGACAAATGAAATGTGAAAAAAATTCAAAAAACATGACTTTCCAAAAGGAAAATAGAAAAATATCTAAGTAGTTTGTTATAAAATCAAATTTCATATATATATATATAGATAGATAGATATAGATATAGATATATGATATATATATATATATATATATATATATATATATGATATAGATAGATAGATAGATATAGATATACATATACATATAGATATAGATATATCTCCCCCTTGGGGAATTGGACCCTAGGGCACTATACACTGAACTGCATACCACTCTTTTATTTTTGTTTTTTTAAGACAGGGTCTTGCTCAGTTACGCAGGTTGACCTTAAAGTTGTAATAGACTTGCCTCAGCTTCTTGA